TATCCATTCAGGTACGTATGCATTCCAAACAGGATAATTAATTTCAGAAGACAGATGTTGATCTTTACCACCCAGGCATTAGTTGAAGAACTTTCCATCTGACTTCCAAACTGTCTAGTCCCGAATTAGATCATTAAGATTCACGTATTTAAATCCTGCTAAATAGTGCTTAGATGTTGCTGAATGAAATAACTTAGCCAGAAAACAAAATTAACAATTAGATAATGTTGCAGGTAACATTGCACCAGGCTTGGCTTGTAATTCCTTAAATATGTGGTAGAGATGTCTTTTCATAAAAGCAGGTGTGAACATCTAATTAAAAAAAAGGGGGAGTTAGCAGGATTAGCATGCCTTACAGAGGCATCAGTGTTTGGTTTTTAACATTTTGGTCATCATTAAAAATTTGTTTTGCAATCAGTGATTTCATTATTTCTTAATGATTAATAATTGCATATTAACATACTGAAAAATGAAGATTTTTCTATGCCTAGTAACAAACAACAGGTATTTATTAGAGAACTTCCTGTTCTCTTTGGGATGAACAGCACTTACTACTCTACCATGGAGGCTGATGAAAGTGATCAAGAAAAAATTCGTTAAGGATACCCTCATTTGGCAGGTTTCCATTGACATGTTTTGTAAGTGTAAAAAAGGAGCTTTTGTTCTAGAAATGCTGAGAGAGTAAGACATCATATTTCAGGGAAGCTGTCATCTCCTGTAATAATGCTGCAGTTACTTTTTATTTAACCAAAGAAGCCTAAATTAAGTTTTTAAATTAATTTAAAAAAGACAACCAATTTTCTTACTCTTTCCGTTCTAGAATCTTGACAGCATTGCAGCCTTTTCTAATTTTGTTAGACAATTTCTGAGATTTTTTTTTCTTTTCAGAGCCTTGAATATGAAATGTGGATACAAAACTAACCAAAAGATCTCCAACTATTGATATATACTATATATACATATATATAAATTTAATTGGATTAGTTTTGATATTATGTTAAACCTCTTATATACGGTTGCAATTATTATATTATAAAGGAATTGCCTTGCTTTTGTTCCAATTTACTAATTAATTTAGATGCTTTAAGTTTATATATATGAGGGTTGGAACTTTAATAGTGGCAACTATTTATTTACAAGGAATACAATAGTGATTCATGTCACCATGTTTTACAGTCCTTCAATATAGTCGCCAGCATTGTGTACAACCCGTTTCCAACCATGTGGAAGTTGCAGAATACCTGTAGCAGCGCCTGTTTTGTTGATAGTTTGAATGGACCGGTCAACTGCCGCAAGAATCTCAGGAACAGTTTGGAAGCGAGTGCCACGAAGTGGTTCCTTCATCTTAGGAATTAAGTTATAGTCACAAGGGCTTAGATCTGGGGAGTATGGTGGATGGTAAAGCACTTCCCAGCCCCATCGCTTGAACAAATCAGTCGCAGCTGGCGCTGCATGTGGCCGAGCATTGTCATGCAAAATGAGAGGAGCGTTCCGCAGTGTCACTGTTTTTTTCTCAAAGCTGGTTGGAGATTGTGCTCCAAAAATGAGCAGTAATACTGCGCAGTGACGGTCTGCTGTGGGGAAAAGGTATGTGTTAGGATGACACCATCACAGTCGTACACGAGAATCACCATGACTTTCACATTGCTGGGGTTCTGACGAAATTTCGAACATTGTGGTGACCCGTGGCGTTTCAGTTCTGGCTGGTAAAATCGGGCCCAAGTCTCATCCAGCGTAATGATACAGCGTAAAAAAGCATCTCCTTCGCGCTCATAGTGCTCCAGGTGGGTTCAGGCAGCATCGTATCGTAGCCATTTCTGCATTTCCGTCAATTGATGTGGAACCCATCGTGAAGCAATTTTTCTCATGGACAGGCGTTCCTTCAGAATGTGTAGCACAGTTGTATGCGCTAATCCTGTTTGTCCGGCCAGCTGACGAATCGTTTGGTGGCAATCACTGTCCATAAGTGCGGCAACAGCTTGCATGTCTGCATCGCTGACACTTGGACGACCTGGCTGTAGCATGTCTGCCACGTTGTGGCGTCCTTCATTGAATGCTTTCACCCATCTTGCTATGGTTCTGTAAGGCAATGCAGATTCCCCGCAAGCCTCTTGAAGCCCTTGATGACACTGTCGTGCTGTACGACCTCTGGTACATTCAATTTTTATCCAACATCGTTCTTCTTGTTTTAAAAACATCCTGACAATACTTACTTTAGACCGCGAGCTAATACAGGAAACCGTTCTTCACGTCACTCCGCATGCGTGTGACGTGGGCAGGACGAGTCTTTTTGCTGAGAGGTAAGGTAGGTATGTAGTTCACCTGTGGTATACGCGATATTCTTTGGTTTTGTTGCATAGCATTTTTTCAGCTGTGTTGCCACTGTTAAAGTTCCAACCCTCGTATATGCAAGATGTTCAAAAAGGAGGCTACAGACTTCCTCCCTCCTTAAACTTTATCCCATTTGTGTGCTTCCTATTCATTTGTGAACACAAGCAATAACAAATTAACTGAGTGGATCATTTTATATTGCCTTTTAGCTGTCAGAAAGAGTGTTGCATTACTTTTAGCAATTGATGATCCCATATCAAATATGGAATCACCTTGCCACCTTGAAACTATTAATTATATAACCATCTGTGAAAATTTTTGCATAAAAACATTTATTAACACTTAACAGTTATTATAAAACCATCTAAGTGTTAAATTTATTTTAGATTGTCTCCACAAATTTTGCATATAAAAGTACAGAACTTTGTAATGTATTAACTGTACGACATGACAAGAAAATTTAGATTTTATATTTATGCAATATATTCACCATTAGTGCTGAAATTATTTGTATAAAATTCTTAGTCATATTTTTAGAAATTTTTTTATTGGAAGTACATGTCCAGATAAATATTTAAGACAGTAAAACATCTAACCGCCTTTTTTGAATAACTTGTGTAAGTTAAAGAAACAAATACTAAATAAGCAACAACAATTGGCATAATACGAGTAAATTTTCAGGATTATATTTCGAAAGTTAAATGGAACCTTCTTCTTAGGTTGTAAGAGTGAAAAAGATACACTTGAAGCGGAAATATGAAGTTCTGCAAATTTTTCATGTTATGCTGTTTCTTTAACATTTGGCATATTATTTTTGTTACATTTCACCTTGTATTAAGTATGAAGTAACTGCATGATAAAACTTAAGTAGTGATGCAGTTAAGCTGAAGGAATTCTATTGGGGGGAAAAAAAATGTGGTAATTTCTGGTTATCTACACTCCCACTGAAAAGTCACGAAATAGTATTGATGAGACTATGTGCCATGTTGCCAAAAGTGTGGTGGCTTAATCATGCATGTAGCATTACCCCCTCAGACAGTTTTCATTTCTCCAGATGTTTTTGTCAATGTTACTGTACATTATGAATCCTCCTATGGTAATTTCAGTGTTTTAGCATAAGAAGTGAACCATATGCTCCACTTCTTATGCTAAAACAGTTCTTATGCTGAACCAGTTTTCATTATATTCGATGAAATCTTGGATTTAGAACATAATGTGGTTAGATGTATCTTTTTTTAACCCAGTGAAGGGTGAGGAGGTTATCAGCAATGCCAAGTGTGTGCAATTCTATCATTCTTTTTCTTTCCCCTTTTTTTTTTTTTTTTTTTTTTTTTTTAAACCAGAAACTGATTGTTGTGGACATGGGAAGAACAACAGTGCCAAAAACTTAAATGTGCTTGTCTTATACGTAACAAATGAATGCAAGAAATAGGTGGTAGTGGATGCATCTGATCTAATTGTTATTTTATTGGGTTAAAGAATTAGGAATCAAGAGGTTATAATAATGTGTGCATGGCAACAAAACTTTGATTAGTGCTGTCTGCAGCCTGAAACATTTTATTTGAAACTTCCAAATCCTGTTTGTTTACTTTTGATAATATTGCGTGGTTTATTTTTCTGGTAACTATTTAAAGAACTACTTGAAAGAATGTGCTTAAATAGCACTAATGCTTAGTACAGTCAGCTGCTCTCTCTGTCTGTGCTCACCTGAGGTTTAACAACATATGTATATGAAAAATACATTTGTAAGCTTGTGTAAAGGATTTGGAAAAATGTATATTTTTCCCTTGCTAACTTCAATTTTGCATAATTATAGTTCTTGCGAATGACAGATCGACTCTAATGAACACTGCATCAAGCTCTTTCTCCTGATATCAACAAAATCAAATTTAATAGAATGTTAAACCAATGTTGATATTGTATGAATATTCTAATGTTGGCTTGAAAAACATATTGTCTGACAGTATAAAAGAGAAGATCAGCTCCTGTTTACTGGAATAATGCATGAGACGTGGTCCATACTTAGCTCAAAATCACAATTAATCCTAGGGCAGTTAAAAGAAATACAGGAAACATGAATAAATTATTTCATATATAACACAAGTATTATCTGCATTTTACAGCAGTTTAATCTGGAGAAAAGTTTCATTAGCTACATAAGTTAAATCAGTGTTCAAAACAAAAAGTACTCTAAATAATGGAAAATATTAGTAACGAAGAAATTAATTTATAAATGACTTTAACAGTATTTATAAGGAAAGAACAGTATTTATAAGGAAACTTCAGCAATCTGAATGAATTCAACATAAGTAAATATATTAGATATATTTTAAACAGATGATTTAAAAGTGTTTATGAATTACACATTAGGTAAAATTAAATCATGCATTGCTGTGGATAAAAGCAATTCTAAATAACCCTCATCATCTGTTATTCCATGCATTTGCTTTTCTTTTTAACATTTCCTTTAAACAGTTTTATTTCATGCTGTAGATTTGTAATAATAAATTTTCCATTATTTCTCAGTAAGTAAACATTGTGTTTTGACAGGGTCCTCGTGTTAAAGCACCCCAATTAATTCCTAGTTGACTGCATTTGTTATTATTATTTTTTTAATTTGTGTAACTTTTGTTAATAATTCAATAAATCTCTCTTCTGTCTGTCTTTAGGCAAGGCAAAGATAAGGGCCCTGCCAAAAGAGGTCCAAAGCCAAAAAAGAAAAGAATTCGTGTAAGTATTTCTTAAAAACAAAGCTGCTAAAATTTTCTTGTCTGATGTATTAAAAACTGAATGAATCATTTCACTGATTATTTTAATGAACTCTTATTCATATTTTGCCTCCAAGTGGTCCAGTAAAGTAAAATTAGAGAACTGTGGGTTTACTCTTTGTTTCTGTTTAAACAACTACAAGAATTTGTTGTGCAGAGATGTGCCCTGTCTGAAATATGAATGTTGCCATTTCTGATTCAAGTTCTTCACCCACCTGTGGCTGAGTGAATAAGATCGCTGAACACTGGTAGTTTAACCTGAGGTCAAATCATAATAAATGTGTTGAATGCTGCCTAAATATTTTCTTAGTTTTTCCCATATGTAACATGGTTGCAAAAGAGGTTTCTCAAAAGATTTTCTGCAAAAGCAGACTTATCCTTAAGCAGTTAGTTCTGATGTACATTGTCATGATCAAATAGTCCAAGCTATTTGCATGTTCTTCATAAAGACTTCCTCATGGTCAGAAAATGAAAACCTTTTCCTTTCTTTTTTTTAATTCTTCAAGAAACTATGGGTATTATATCCTGTGGTAATTCATATTCATTTTTAATGTTTTCTTGTCTCCCAGATTTTTTTTTCAAATATAATCACATCTCACTTTACAAATCGCTGCTGCTTTAAGAAACCTTGAATTTGTGAATTCATCTATTGTAAATGTGTAGTACCATATTTATTTGACTCCCTTTTCTGTATCCCTTTTCAGTACCTTTTAAGTTGCATTCCATTTTTAGTGGTACAGTCAACAGCCGTTAATCCGGACTCGTCGGGACTTCGGCGATTCCGGATTATCGATTTTTCCGGATAATAGATCATCAGTTTAAATCGCATAAGATGGCATGCAGAAATTCTAAAATTAGAAATATGAAACCGTAATTTATGAAATAAAGAACAATTATGATCTAAAGGGTATCAAAATTTACAAAAAAAAAAAAAGCTTAATATTTATTTGTTTACTTTATTAAACATTTCTTTCAATGTAAGTTGTTTAAGTTGCTTCGTTTTATGTGATAATACTTTCTCTTTAATTCTATAAACAGACATAATTTTTTGTTCAGTTACAAAGTCTCGCTGTTCAAGTCCCGTTAATTGCTGTGCCGAGAATACCAACTAACTTGTCAATCGAAATTTTTTCGTTTTCACTAACCTCTCTGTCACATTCTTCATGTCTTTATCCATTTTTTGCAGCAATTCCACTTTTGTTTGATGGATATCGAAACATACTTTTGTTTTGTATGATCCTTTGGGAGCTCCAGATTCGGAAATTCTATTTGACATAATTGAAAGTTCAAGTTTCCTTTTATAGTATTGCTCTTACAGTCTGCAAAAAATAATAAGCCGGATCCAATTCGAAAATTAAGGAACAACGCAATCATCAACATTAACTGAAATAGATAATTAGATAATTTTAGCTTATACCATTCATTATACATAAAACGCACACGCGAAAACATATTCTGCGCTTGCGCACACGCAAATGCGCAGTCGTAAGAGGTCTTAGTCTTACGCGCACGCGTAAACGCCTATGCGCATGTGTCAACGCGGAGCATGCGCAGAAAGTTTTTAGCTTTGAGGCCTGGATTATAGATCATTCCGGATTATGGGTGTCCGAATTAACGACTTTTGACTGTATTTGTATGGGAAAATGTTCCTTTAAGTATGTTAAATTAGTTCATCTCAAAAACAAAATTTAAATTAATATCTTTACCTATTATTACAAACTAACTAAAAAATTATTATTCAAAATGAATCACTTTGTAAAAGGAAATTTTGCTGTAACAAGTATAAAATAAAGCAAATTTAAGAAGTAAATTTTAATGTAATATATATTTTTAACCTCCCACCCAAACCAATGATAAAATGTGTCCTTTCAGCAGTATATTAAAGAATTTAAATTGTGGTAAAATTTTTGCATGAATTGTAACATATGAACATGACTGAATGAATTGCATGAATTGTAACATATTTTTGAGAACATAAAATTGTAAAAATATTTAGAGTGAAATCCTGAATTTTAAGGTCTGCCATGTACCTGTAAGCTGTTAATTTTTTTAATCTATATTTGCATAATTGTAATGTGTATTTGTAGAAAGGGTGCTTGAATATGATTACTTTGGTTTAAAATCAAAAATTTTAAATTTTTGAAATAAAATTTACGTTTAGGCACTTAAATGATGCAACCCAGTTGAACATACTTATGTAAAATATCTGAAAAAGCTTTTGAAAGTGATTTAGATTCAATATTGTTATTTTATAAAAAAAAATTATAAATATAACAGTGCAGTCATAAACAGTATCATGCTGTAATTGCAATAACATGATTTTATAAGGAAATGTAACTTAACTGAAAAATGAAAATTTACTTTTATGAAATTATATTTATGCTTTAGCTAATTTATAAAAAGAACTTTCCTGTGTTTCCAGATCCTCAGAACTACCCCCCTCCTCCCAACCTCCTGCAAACTTTCAGGTCCCCCCCCCCAATTTTATGCAAATATAGGATTTAATATATTATTTTGTTCAGGAAGAAAAGTTGTTAAATGATTTTATATCCCATACACCTCAAAACCCCTTTTTTTTCTATTTTGAGTCCCCTAGGGACCTTTTAAATTTTTCCATAAATAAAGTAGTAATACGTAAATACATTCAGGAAGCATACTTTTTACTACAGGTCTAGTTCTGACTCACTTTGAAGGCCTTCTTTTCTATTATTGGGCCTCTGGGCCCTGTAGAAGCCCCTTTCATAAACACTGTTACTCCACAGATTAGAGTGAAACATAAGCTCGGTGGCTAATAATGCCTTACTTCGCAAGGGCACCGGTATAAGTTTTATCCACAGGCGTAGCTAGGGCTTTCAGTGCCTGGGAACAGCTGAAGATTTTGCGCCCCTTTCTCTGTGCCAAGAATGGAAAACATTTCATTCTAAAATTTCTTAACATCAATTTGGTGCCTCCTGAAAACTGCGCCCGGGGACAAATGTCCTCCTCCCTTGCCCCACTCTAGCTACGCCACTGGTTTTATCCATCTTAAAAATCGTTAAATAATCTTTTAACAATCAGTCTTGATTGTAATACCCCAAAAAATTAAGTATATAAATTTTCAGTCTTTGTATGTCATATATTTGTAGATTTTGTATTCTCCCCCCTCCAGTAATATTTATGAAACTTGAAACGCAAGACTTTTGAAGGAGATACCGTATTTTAATAGCTGTGAACATACTGAGCATTGATAATACAACAAACTCAAAAATGTATTATTTTGGTGTAAAATAATTAGCATTTTTTAGGGGATTAAAAATTTGATGAATTTCAGGTATATTTATTATGCCGGTGCCCTTCAAGGGCTTAGCTATAATGAAATCAGTAAAATTATTAGACTGCAAATTTTTGTGTTAATTCATTTTATTTTTTAGACATTTTATTGGCATACTTTTTTTTTTTTCGATTATTTAATTTTAACTGGAACAGCACTGAAAACTGGTAAAATTAAGATACCATATTTCTGATAGGTTTAACCTAAATTTTAAAACTTTATTAAAATATGATTAAAGAATCAGCCTCATTATTTTTTTCTTAGTTTAGGAAATTTATTTTTTAATATAATTTAGACGTAACATCCATGCGTTTCGCGTTTGCGATGCATGAAGAATAGGGCGTTTACTACGCGCTATGCGAACTGTATTTGTTACAGTACTTATTGATTTGCATATTGGCCATTGACGCCTGTGTGAGGTGCGCATTATATTTTGTTCCGGTTTTCATGCTGTTTCGGCAAATAACCTTTGCGGTTCTATTATAACCCCCCAAAGCCTCCTGCCTCACCTTTATTGTTATTATGTCCCCTCCCCTTCTCAGTTGTATTGCAGACTGCACGACGCGAAATACTCATCGCATGTCATTTTCTCCCTGTTTTATTTGTAGAGCTCGAGTGACGTTTCGCTTGAGGCCAGGAGCAACACAGCAGATGGCAGTACCAAGCTCGCCGATGATAGTATGCGGGCGGGGGACGACGCACCCCCTTCGGTGTCCCCTTCCGTAACACCCTTCCCATCATCTTCCGTCGCCTAAACAACTAGAGACGAGTGCGCCATCCAACGACGAAGCTTCAAAGCTAGCGCCCGAAGGCGTGGATTCCAAAGACTGTGCCAGAGACTCTAAGTTGGGTGAAGAAAAAGAACAGAAAAGCCGTCACACAGGCGCAGAAGGGGAGAGGGCGAGTCTGAAACGTAAAGCAGACGATGCAGTGGATGATGAAACCGACGCTAACGATTCTAGTCCTACACAGCAGTTGATTGCAGAAGAAACAACAAACTCGTCCGCGAATCCAGTTTGCGAGTCGACGAAGCGACGAACCAACTCAAGGTCACCTTCCATCTGCATCGAACATTGCTACGGCCAAAGGCCCCAAAGTGATGGCGAAGAGCCCGAAGTGGTTGTCAACAACAACCGCAACAGAAAAAGAGCACAATCAAGCGAATCATTATAAAGCGTTGAACGGGCATGTGAAAAAGATGCCGCATAGCAAAGCGGACTCTACTAGTGCCAACAAGAAAGCAAATTCCGCTGTTTCGACTAGCAGTAATACTTCCCGATCGCCGCAAACGGGAAAAAATTCAGCCCTCTCGAGGATTAATCAGTCCCCGAAATTGAGTGCTAATAATAATTTTCCCAATAAACGAACAATGACGAACTGCAGTGATACCAGCTGCGTAGATCCGAACGGGGTGACTGAGAAAGCAGAATCACCCGCTAACCATTCCGATCAGGAGAACAATAATGAATTGGGAAAACCAGATGTTCAACTCAACGGTCACCTTCCCCCGAACCGGGTGGTTCAAGCGACCCTGCTCCAGCCGAAAAACAACAACTGCAGCCGTTCGCTATTCGCCCCCAGCTGCGTAGTTAACGCGGATCCACCCCCCGAAATATGGCAGAAGCAGAATCCCGTGGTAGATGATATTCTGATCACCGATGTGACCGCCAATCTGGTCACTGTGACCGTCCGCGAATGTTGGACTAGCCGTGGTTTCTTTCGCGACCGCGGCGGGATCGAAAAAATCGAGAAGGGCAATGAACCAAAAGAAATGGAAGTTAACTAATTCTTGTTTGCGATGAAAAGCGTGTGGGGGAAGTTATGAAAATTGAAATTTATTCTTTTCACTGCGCACAGTGATCGTAACTGTTGGAAAGTTTCTCTGAAAGGTCACTGGTCAGAAAACTTATTGCTAAAATGGCATAAATCTTGAGGTTATACAAAATTTTGAACTCCGAAAATAAATTATTACATTTAAAAAATTTGCTATTTTCAAATAAAACTTCTATATTCTAAGCACTGATTCAAATAATTGTTTGGAACAAGATGTTGAAATTAACATAGTCATTTATTGTTAACATAAATACTATTAGAAGTATTTTAATTGAATCTCCCTAAAGCACAGATATTACTTTTTTAGGGCAGGATTACATATTTGAATAAATGATGGTGTTTCAAAGTACATGGCTCGTAATTTGGTGAATTTTATTCAAATTCTCAGATTTTACACTTGATTAATCTCAATATGTAGAAAATTTTTATTAAATTCTTCTGCTGTTGTTGGGAGTTGCTCAAATAGTAAGATATTTTTGCATTATTTAGTGTTAAGTTTTGTCATGAGAATTTACATTCTTTCAGGGAACACCTTATTGATGATTATTAATACATAAGTCTGAGTAAATTTTTGTCGTTTGAATAGTGCAGAAAGTCACTAAAAAGGGAAATTTTCTGATAAGTCACGTCACTGATTGCAGAACTCCCACCTTAGTGTTTCAATTAAAAAAGTGGTGCCTTCTTTATATACTTCTTCCCAGAAAGACTGGGTAGATATTACTTTCGTTCAAGTGATTGAAAAATGAAAAGTAGCAGCCCTTATCCTTCTAGGTATCTTCGGAAAGTAGATATTATTGGGAAAGCATTGGAACTTTTGAACTAATTATATTTCCTTATCTGTAAAGAACACAAAAACGTAAATATTTTTGTTTATATTTTTTGTTATAAACTAAATAATATATATATATATTTACTTACAAACTTTGTGAAATACCTTATTTAACGGCATATAAGACACACTTTTTTTCCTAAATTTGATCTCAAAAAAGTTGCCTGCGTCTTATACGTGAAGGACACAGTCTTATACGTGAAGGTAATTGCATTCAGTAATTGTTTATTTGGCTTTTACGAAACGTGAGAACTAAAAGAAACCACGCTATTGAAACTTTTTTTCCTTGTGTGTGGCCGTCTAAATAAGGGTGCATCTTATATGCCGTCAAATATGGTATATACCATTTCTGGAACATCTTGTGCTAATATTTCACTGGAGACAGAAAAATTAGGGAGATATTGATTCATGTTGAAATTATAATTAAAATTTATAGTTTAAATATTCTTAAATATCAGTATTGTAAAAATTTTAAATGGAAGAGGCATTTTCCCCCACATTTGCAATATGACAGTATTACATCTATAAAAATGTGGCAAGCAGTTGTAGATAAAGTATCCATAGAAATTATCATTAAATATTATGTCTGTGCACTCTTTATATCCTTTCTAGGTGTATTAAGACTTTTTTTTTTTTTTTTTTTTTTTTTTTTTATCCTGTCGTAAATCAGCTTTTAAGGACTGACTGCTGCTTTTTGTTTGAAAGTTTGTAAAAATCTAATAATGGATAAACTTACCAGAATTTTTACATTTTCGTTTTCAGATTTTTCATGTGTGGCTATGCAATTTTAAAGAAGGAAAGTGTAATAGTTATTTTTGGCACCTTTATAATAAAAAGTAGTAAATATAACAATAAGAAAATTATAGCCGAAGTTAAGAGGTGGCATATTAAAAAAGTAGAAATTAAAACAAATTATTATTATTATTATTAATATAAAAAATACAAAAATCGGTGGGATTTTTGTATTATTTCTTGATTTTAATATTTTGAAAGATACAAAACTAGTAAAAAAGGTATTAGTTTCTTATTATTTTTTAGAAAAACTGGTGGAAAAAAAAAAGAAACTAGTTTATTGTTATTTAATATTTAAATCTTATACAAAAGCTAGCAAAAAAGAATTTGTTCATTTTTCAATATTTTAAAGGGGTACACAGATTGAAAGAGCCCTAGCCTGTCTAAAAAAATCGGATTCTCCAAATGATAAACTGAGATATCAGCAGGCTGCTGTTCTTGATGTATTTTAAAATACAAAAATCCTTGATTTTAATATTTTGAAAGATACAAAACTAGTAAAAAAAGTATTAGTTTTTTATTATTTTTTAGAAAAACTGGTGGAAAAAAAAGAAACTAGTTTATTGTTATTTAATATTTAAATCTTATACAAAAGCTAGCAAAATGATAAACTGAGATATCAGCAGGCTGCTGTTCTTGATGTATTTTACGCAGTTTCAAACATAAAACTGAATTTTAAGTTAAATTCGCAGAAAAGCCGTAACTGTCAGAATTCATTTAACGTAAAATAGTTTTGTATTTCTGCTAATGTCTGTAATTCTGGCAAAAGTAAATTAGGAGAAAATTTACCTGGTTTTTCTCTCATCAAAGTTGAGTGTATAAATAAATATTTTTTGGTTATTTATATCAAATTATATGTTGGAAAAAAATAATACTGACCGGAAATTTTTTGGTTGAAACTATATTTTTGTACGATTGAAAAAAGAAAAACTATGCAAACCCTTTCACGGCGATGTAGAAGCAAACATTCGCCGTCTTAGGAATATGCAAAAAGGAAATGCATTTTCACAAAACGAAGTGATGTCGGCTCCTGCGGAAGTGAACTACGCTCCCCGCTTTGACCTTGAAAAGAAGTTCTCCGCAGTTTTATTTATAGCATGTTTTTGTTATCAGGATCGGTATCGACATAGTTGGCGAGTTGAAATTGCGAAAGAATTTATTTCTCCGCTCTTCTGCTTTTAGAGGGTAAAAGTAATCATTAAGTTATTGTTTTTAACGAGCCAGCAGCATAATAATATAAATGTGTATCACATACGTTAATTAGTTGTCTATTTCGTCGGTACAAGCATTCAGTCAACTCACAGATCCATTGTATATTTTATATTTAAATATAATTAATGAGCACTCAGTAATTTGAATTTCTTGCACTTTTCCCCGATGTGACTGTCATCGTAAGTGTAATATGTATTATATTTACTTGTTAATATTCAGAAAATCATTCTTAAATTTTTATTTTCTATCAGGAAATGTAATATCAAAATGTTCTATATTTTTGTATAAGATCTTTTTTGAATGTTATCTGAAATGGTGGCAACGGTACAATCAAAGCAGCATGATCAACTATACTGTCTTTTCTATATTCGAAGGAAAGTATATTAAAATAATCAGAATTCCACAAATCTTGTAAATGTATGTACAGCTTTAAGAGGTGCCTTTTGAAAGAATGCAGCGATATTTTGGAGATTAATATTTGCTGTAATAACTTTCCAGTGTTCTGAGGACAGAAATAGAACTGGAACTTGTACATATATTTATGTTTTGGAACTGAGGTATTCTAATTTGCGTTGTTCAGCAACTTTTTGGGAATTTCCTAAATGGTAAACAGTTGCAGGTATGTGCTGCGGTTTGCAGCCAAATAAGGGATCAAAGATTATGTAAATGACTCCTCCTAATTTTTAAATCAGGTAGATGTTTCATTTTACTTCTGTAATGATATTTAGTGTTTTTCATTTGTTTCTAATGGATATCACGTCCTCATAATTTCATTATTGCTTGGTCCCTTGTGTGTGATTTTGTAAATCAACTAGTCCTTATTACGTTTTGTTTGTTTGTTTGCTTTTCGTATGCTTATGATTATTCATAATACTTGTACATATTAGCTTTTCATGTTGATTGTGTGCCTGGCATTGTATTCATAGCTCTTGTATATGCAAACTGTGTATAAAAAATTTATACTTACTTTTGGTGTTTTTATTTAAATTGAATTGTAGATTTTATTAATCATGCACACTGACATTCTGTACCCAAGCTTTCTCATTGCTAGCTGAAGACCTTACAGTGAGAAGTATGCAGTTTCAAATTTTTAGATTAGAAAAACTGATAAAAAATTGATTTAATGGAATGTTTTTAGCTATGCATTCAAAGTATTTTAACCAATTAATATCTATGTAACAGAAAATTATCCTTTCGCCATGGTTGGATGAATTTCAGAAGTTAAGTACTGCATCCTTCTTGCGTGAGATTGCACACTATTAGTACTGCATTGTGTAAATATTATGCAAATAACATGAAACTTTTTCAACATTTAAAAAAAAAAAAAAAACTTCGGTCTTTCTAAAATTTCTGTACCACTAAGTTACGCTATTATGCATTTATCCCTTATGTGAATTATATTTCCTGCTTGAAACGTAACATCCTTAAATTATCTTACACCTCTTCTAACTGATGTCAATTAATAAAGTATAAGATTTTTTAAAATTTAAACTGCTTTACAAATAGCGATTAAAAATCATAAATGCTTTCTTAGTTATTCAGATCTTTAATTTTTAGTATTGTGTGCTCAGTTCTTGATTAGCTGGGACCCAGTTTGAAAAAAGAAGTTACGTTTGTTGTGGAATGATTAAAAAAAAATTATCATCACAAATTTGGCAAAAAAACTTCCTACGGAAAGTACAGAGACAAAGGAACGGGGTGTTAGTAGTGATACCAGAGGTTGTCATAGTTATTTATAAATAACTTTCTTAATTTGTAATAATGTTTATTTTCGTATTATTTACTGTATTTTTTTAGATTAGAAGGGCTATTAATTTGGTTTTGGAATTTTGCGGCGAAAACTTTAAATGTCCGTTTCACTTTTCAAATTGTTGCCACCAAATAGATCACCTGCGTTATATTTAAAAAAATTAAATAATGAAGAATCTGCATAAATGTATGTATGTTTCTCGCATTGTGCTAAAACAAGGGTACCTGGAGCCATCAAATTTTGAATAACGTAATCTTTCACCGAATATGGGCATCTGGAAGCCCATATTTGGAATATGTTTTATTATCGATTTCATGTTTAGTAACACTTTAACGAATTTTTGATTAACGAACTCGCCGATTTCAAAGCGAGCAATGGCAATACCGTACGGGAGGGGGGAATCATGTTTATCTCCAGCGCACGAGACTATATCGGAAGTTCTAAAGATATGCTCATTTTAAAATTATATCGCGATATTGCTATTGAATTGAATTTTATAATTTAAGTGCGAAGAACGTGATATTTAATAAATAAAAATTACACACAAAGCGTTAAAAAAAAGCCTATTTGTGCGAAATGTAAAATCTGAAACCTTTCTGGTTTTTTTTTTCAGCCCTGTTGTTGTTGTTGTATACATACATGACCGAATTAATTGGGTTTAGCGCTATGTTTTTTATAGCCTAATGAAATTTTTGCATCTACTAAATTTGCTTCCTTAATTCTAAAGATTTAGCTACATCGGGTTCTCCAGATTAAATTAGTTGAAAATATAGGTACATTTTGGTCATGTTTTCTTTTCTTTAAACCCTTTGCAGTTGTATGCGTACTTTGAGCCACCAAAGCGTTTTTGCCATTGTAGTCGTATATCTGCAGTCAGCCACACTGTTTCAGCCACCACAGCAAAGGACTATACTGATATTATATAATTTGGCAAGCTTCATAATCTTCCATGTTATGTACTACTGCTCATTCAACGAAACCAGCATGATACCTGTGTATAAACTTAATATGATCACAAAGGAATAATTAAAATATAGGGCTCACTAACAGTGGAGTATCTGAACACTAGTAGTTCGACAAAGAGAAAGAGCTGGCTGCATTTGCATTCTGTTGCTTTTACTCATTTGTGGTGTGGATACGAGCCATGTTCACATATAAAGACCTCTACGAAGGCGTCCGTTCCAGATAGCCGTTGTGTGGTTTGTCGTAATCAAAATAGCCAAGCCTTTAACTGTATTCGAATAACAATGAATGTTGTCCTTGGTATTATCCCAGATAACTGGGAGTCAATTCTATATACATTTGATTTGATTTAATTTATTATATATTCTACTGGCCAGACACTTGCAACTTAATGCACTTGTCAGGAATGGCCAATGTCATTTGGAATGGTCTCACCATCGAAAATGCTGCCGGAATTCACGACAGGAGGTAAGCGATTTTTACATCCAGAAGAGGACGGAAGTTTCGTCCAAATTTTGATGGAGAACACCCCATTTGAATATCCAAAATAGTAACTTTTGAACATATGAAGCATCAATTCAATTTATAAAAGTTTTTTCTAAAGTCATGTATTAAGTATCTTAAAAATACATTGAATACAAAAGTATTAAAAAAAATTAATGTCACAGTTTTAATAAGAACTAAGATTTAGTTCCATCATTATTAGCATTGGTATTGTAAGCGAAAGCAAAATACCTTTTCATCTGTTGGGGAAAAGGAAATGAAATTTCAGAAGAAATGGAGATACATTTTCTTACTAAATATACAACAACCACTTGGAGCACAGTAGTCCAGTCTGCTTTTTGACGAACTAGTGGATTCAGAATATTTTTATGCATAAAAACAATAGTCAAATTTTTCCAAAGGCAGTTTCGACGACCAAAAAAAAGTGCTGTATAAATACAGTTAATGTGTTACTGTAAAATCATCGAAACAGATTGTACAGTTTAAAAGAATTTATGTTTTCTGTGAAAATGGTCACCTTAGAGAGTATGGTATCTGTGATGTTCAGTATGAATGTTTATGTTCTGAAAATTAGAGGCTTGTTTGTACATTTTTTAGACGTCTTTGCTATAAAAAAATGCGTGTATGGAGTTTTTTTTTTTTTAAATTGCAAGTATATTTTTGAATATCATCTGCTATTTGGGAATTTATCATAAATTATCATCTGCTATTTGGGAATTTTATTTTCATGAAAAATAGCGCTTTTAAAGAAGCACTGGACAAAAAGCTATGTTCCGAAGAAAATTATTCCTATTTAGTTGTTGAAAAATGCTGTGAAAGCCATGATTTTTCGGTATCTAAAGCAACGATAGATAATATTGTCAGTAAGAGGGGGGGGAAAGTAAATGTTTCGCAAATGTTAGAAGAAAATCTTCGAAGTCAAAGGATATTTGCATAATCATTTTAATGCTCAGTGTCAGCTATAAGCAAAGTGATTAATGCTGATTTGAATCTTAGAAAGGCGAAGAAACGTAATGTGCTCCTTTCCCCACGACATACTCCCGAAAACAAAACTCTATGAGAAACTATTATTCGGACAAAAATGGAAAAATGTTGTCATAATAGGTGAATCTTAGGTATATTTAAATGACCGCAATAAAAAGAAATTCATTTATTATCATCAAAGAGAAGGAAAAAATCTTAGAACATGATTCAAAGAATCTAAAGAAAGATTTTCAAAGGGATTAATGATTATTGCTGGTTTTTGATATTCCAACAAAAATTAAAGAGAGTGCAGAAAACTGTTCAGGTCAACTCCACCTATTATCAGGAACATATTTGATAGCCAACTTTTAAATACGAAATACCTTCTCTACCCACAGTGCCATAAATCAGAACTCCATTAAGCAAGCAACCGCACATCAAAATACACTGTTAATTTCCTTAAATAAAATAGAACAAGAAACGTGTATTAAGTGTGCGTACCCTTCACTCATATCCTTACTAAATCTCGTGATGTTATCATCCACGGATTTGTTTTGGAAAGTGTTCAAAAGGAATGGGATAAAATACCTACCTCTTTCGCTATTAAAAAAATCTGATGTGTACACCACATGACTTCCTTGTACGGAATATTAAATTATACGCGTTTTTTTCCTGCACTTCATTTAAACTTATTGGGTTGAATTAAATCTACACTGCTGGCCACCGTAAATGTAACACCCTGAAGGAAGCATGCAAATAACATTAAATTTACAACATGCATTAGAGGAAGTGAGATATGCAAATGATTAGAATTTCAGCGCAGACGCACATCACGCACGCCTGTGGCTCCACTTCAAAGCGCTAGTTAAGTTGGAGTTTTCAGCGATTTCAAATTCGGCAATTGTGTTTTTCTTGTGGTTTTTTTTTCAAAAAGCTGATCAATTATGCCTCGTAGTAAACACCGATCATAGTTTGATCAAGTATCCGAGTTCGACAGAGGAAGGATAGTAGCCTACCGAAAGTGTGGATTATCTTTCAAGGAAATCGGTAGTCCTGTTGCACGAAACCAAACAACTGTAATGCGGATATGTGACCGTTGGATGCAGGAATGTACGACGTGTTCGATCGCATCTACTTCAGTGCACCACTTCACGTGATGACAGGAACATTGCGCGCATGGCAGTGACGGATCGCTCAGTCACATCACGAACCATAGCACAGCACATTCATTCTGTAACGCATCATCCAGTGTCTGCGTACCATTCGACGCCGTTTACAGCAGAGTGGTCTGTCCGCAAGACGTCCGTTGCTTCGTCTACCCTTGACGCAGAACCACAGAAATCTCCGCCGCCAACGGGGCGATTAAAGAAGGATGTGGACGGCAGAATGGAATGAAATAGTCTTTACTGACGAGTCACGCTTCTGTCTACAACACCACGGGATTCGAGTTTGGAGACATCGTGGAGAGAGGATGCTAAACAGCTGCGTTATGCACCGCCACACTGGTCCTGTACCGGGTATTATGGTATGGGGTGGTATTGAATATCACTCTCGCACTCCTCTAGTACGCACTGCCGGTACTTTAAACAGCCAGCGCTACATTTACGAGCTGTTGGAGCCAGTTGTCCTTCCTTACCTTCAGGGCTTGCACACAGCCATATTTCAACAGGTTAATGCGCGACCACACGTGGCAAGCATTGCCCAAGGGTTCTTCGTCAATCGCCAGATTGAATTGCTTCCCTGGCCAGCTCGCTGTCTGGACCTTTCGCCGATAGAAAACATGTGG